AATGAATCTAGGCCACTATTCTTGCCGACACTGGAGGCAACTGCGTATGCAACGATGCAACAGACCCTATATGTTTGACGAACACCGAGTACCTCATCTGCAAGCAGGGTAAGGACCTTCTAAATGCTCAGTAAATTATCTGACCCAAGCTCAGATTTGAACCGCAACCTCATCACCGCAACCGCGGCCGTAGCCGGCTTCAGCTCGTTTCTCTTTGGGTTCTTCACCAACATGCCCGTTTGTCTCGCACCAGGCATGGGTCTCAACGCGTACTTCGCCTACCAGATTGTCGGCTTCCATGGCACCGGTCTCATCTCCTATAATCTGGCACTCACTGCGGTTTTTGCTGAAGGCTTCATCTTCATATTCCTATCTTTAATCGGCATGCGACAATGGCTCGTCAAGATCATACCAGTGTCACTTAAGATTGCTGCAGCGTGTGGTATAGGGCTGTTTCTCGCCGAGGTTGGACTGAGCGCCAATGCAGGTATTGGTGCAATTGCGGGCTCAAAGAGTACTCCACTTGACATAGCGGGATGTCCAGATCAGTACAAGGATGAGTTTGGCTCATGTACAAGCCACAAGATGACCTCTCCTACTGTATGTCCTATATTACTTCCTCACAAGACGTTGCTAATACCTCTCGCAGATGTGGCTAGGTATCATGTGTGGGGGCATCTTGACAGCTTACTTGATGACATACAAGGTCAAGAGTGCCATGATCCTGGCCATCCTACTCGTGTCAATCATCTCATGGCCACGAGGTACATCAGTCACATTCTTTCCTTACAACGAGGTTGGTGACAACCGCTTCGAATTCTTCAAGAAGGTGGTCGACTTTCATCCCATCAATCGCACTTTGAACGCTCTGGACTGGGACGTCAACCGGGCACCTGGCCACTTCGCCCTCGCCCTATTCACTTTCCTCTATGTCGACATCATCGACTGCACAGCTACACTTTATTCCATGGCACGTTTCTCCGGCGTGGTGGACGCGGAGACTGGAGATTTTCCACGATCAACGATTGCTTATTGCACGGACGCTTTTTGCATCTCCATGGGTGCACTCCTTGGTTGTTCACCTGTGACGGCTTTCATCGAGAGCGGTGCTGGGATTGCAGAAGGTGGCAAAACTGGATTAACAGCCATGACCTGTGGTGTTTGTTTTCTCATATCCATGTTCTTCGCTCCTATCTTTGCTTCGATACCGCCATGGGCTACTGGAAGCACATTGATCCTGGTAAGCCTTTCTTTATCAAATCTTCAAGACATCATCATTAACAAAAACATAGGTTGGCTGCCTCATGATGCGACAAATCTCCTCGATCAATTGGCGGTACATCGGCGATGCGATTCCAGCCTTCGTAACCGTGATGTTCATTCCCTTCGGATACAGCGCGGCCTACGGTCTTATTGCGGGTTTGATGGTCTACACTGCACTTAATGGCATGATCTACTTGACCAAGATTATCTCCGGCGGCTACATCGTTCCCGAAGACGAAGATCACCGCGAATACTGGACTAGTAAGTTTCACCACATTTCCCTGCTTCGTTGGCGCACTTTCCTACTACACACCCACCAACGATACCAGTCACTAACAAACAAACCCAGTCAAACCCGCTGGCAGACTCCCCTGGTTCATCACCGCATCCCAAAGCCTCGCAGATCGCGTGCGGGGGACTCACACGCCCAATTCCCGTGACGCGATTTCCATTCGAAGCACGGAGTCGGAGTGGAAATACCACGATCGGATTGGCTCAAATGGATCCGATCGCGAGCTTGATTCGGTCGTTATACAAGCCTTGCCCACAGATCCTCGCCGGGAGAAGGTTTTCAAGTCGATGGGGAGATAATGGCGCCTGTGATTGGCAGAGGAGAGTTTCTGTGAATTAGAGTTTCGCGCTTATGAAATGAATTATCACGAGTCATTTGAAATTACGTGTCACCTGATTTTGCCTGCCGTTATTTTGATATCCTAATTCTTGATCTACATAGCTTCTGACAAAATTTTATCGAGCACTGTCTCCTGTCGGGTACGTTTCCCGTGTCTAAGGTGGCATCAACTTTGGTTCACAAACTTTGGTTCGGGCCAACGCTTTCGCTCAACATCAGGATTGGGACCGCGGCATTGATATCCGTTAATTAGTCCAACCTTCCTCCAACCCTCCTTCAACTTCTCTAAGGCGAGAAGAAGTAACAGTGCATCACTTTTCCAAGCCACAAATATCCAGCAGTGCACTAAATAGTCTTCCGAGATCTGCTCCTCGTTTCCTTGTTTTTGCCTTCTAGCTTTGCGTGCCTAAGGTGCGCCAATAGGAGTGATCTACGAACTCTATGGTTGGCGCTCAGTCTTCCGAGCCGCGTATTCGCAAGCTGCACGGCTGGGGTGCCGATCGCTACCGATTCAGAAGGGTCTTGCAGCGGCACTTAACTCATAAGAAGTGGCACTACCGGTGTCTGCCATCAATCCGCAACCGACGTGCGTCTTGCAATCATGTCATCATCGAGTATCGACGCATCTTCTATCGATATGCAAAAAGCAACCTATAGCTAAAGATCAGTTCACCATCACGCCTGTATATCTAAGTAAAACAAATTGCTGCCTCCTTTCGAGAATAGTGTATGTGATACGTGCGGGGCTCGTGTTTACATTGATAACGGTCTATTCTTCCAGCTTTGGTACGGGTCTCCGGCATGTGTATCAAGCTTAACGACGAGATGAATTCCTTTTTGTAAGGCTGAGAAGGATAGCGCATGACAGCTCGGCAAGTACATAAGCCTGTTTCGTGTCAAACATCGTCGTCTTCCCAATGCGGTATGCTCCACACACACTCATCAAACCTCAAACTAACCCCAGAGAACGTGTACCCACCATCGCTTCTGCAACACCAGTTCGCCCCGCACTTTCTTTTTCCTTATCTCAACTCAACACAATGCGCCGCCGTCGACCTGCCACACTGATCCAGTCACGAAGCTTGCGTCGCTGCTAAGCAGGAATTGAATCACTTTCGCGACTTGTTCAGGGCTGGGGACGCGGCCGAGGACGGCGTTGTTGGGGGGTGTGAAGCCGTTCTCAATATCGAAGGCGTCCAGGTGTGGTGTGTCACCAAAGCTTCTAAAATAGTGTCAACGACCGGCTCTGCTCCGACAGTACAAGTGGTGGGAAGAGAACCAGTGCCTGAGATAGGCTGAGGGCATCACTTACGGTGCGATAGCATTGATCCGAATGCCAGTCTTGGACTGCTCCCTTGCAGCAGCCTTCGTAAGTCCAATGACGGCATGTTTTGACGCGCAATAGATTGAGCTGCCTTCTTTGCCGACCAGTCCTGCTGTCGATGCTGCATTTACAATCGATCCACCTTGTCCGCCTTTACTTGTGGGATGCATGCTGCGAAGCTCGGCGGCCATGCACAAGAACATGCCCTTAACGTTGACTGCGAAGACCTTCTTGTAGTTGTCATGGTCGTGGTCTTCTACAAGGGCCTTGTTGCCCGAGATAGCTGCAAGGTTCACTGCACCTGCGTCGTCGTCAGCCCAAGCACATATCCGGACGTTGACTTCCATAAGCAGATTCGTGCCTTGCAAGACGGCCAGGATGTTCACATACCATCGATAAACTCCAATCCCTAGTTCGAAGGGGCATATCTTAGCCAGCTCTTTACGGCTCTCTCGTTTGTAACATCCAACATTGTGAATTCCGCATTCGGTCCGAGTTCACTCGAAAGCTGCGCCAGTTCTATTAGCTTGGTGTCCCCGAGGGAGACCTTCGCTCCGCTTGCAACCAGCAATTTAGCTGTCGCACGTCCAACGTCTGATGTTGCCCCGGATATAACAAACAACTTCCCCTTCAGAGTCTGCAGAGGATGAGATTTGCTGTTCGGAGACCCGGATTCCTCCTGCTTCGGTGGTGGCTCAACATTAGAGGCGGAAGGGGTGTTTGGAGAAGTCGGTATCTGAGAGGGTGTTGTGCGAGATGTTGATCCTTGTGACCTTGGCGACTGCGACGTTGGTGATGGAGATGTTGATGATTCAGACGTTGATACCTGAACAGTTAGTGATTGAGCGGCCAGTGATTGAGCAGCTGGCGATCGAGATGTAGGTGATCGTGGTGATTGAGCTGACGATACTTGAGACTGCGAACATGCATGCTCTGATGCCTGAGATGTAGAAGATTGAGGCCTCCTTGTTGAATACTCTGGTACTGGATATACGGATGCCGAAGACGCCAGTGATGGAGGCCTCAATGATGGAACAATTGATTCTGTAATTGTTGACGCTGGAGTGTAAGGTGGTGACATGAATTCTGCATAAATTGGTAACGGATGTGGAGTTGCTTGAGGCTGCAGTACTGTAATATATGATGGTGGAGCCGTTGATGCTGGAGATGTTGATGGTAGAACCGTTGGTGGTGTAGCCATTGGTGGCGGAACTGGCGATGCTGGAGACGGGCGTCCCGGCTTCCAGTAACGATACAATCTTTTGGACCAGCGACGTGGTGCCATGATGGCTTTCGCTCGTATGTGTTGATAACGGTCGGTAATACGCGACATCTTGTGATATTCTTAGCGATGGATGGGAGGTATGTTCACCGTGGTTGGCGAGTTGTTGGGTAATAAGTTGGATGAAGAACGTAGGTACTGCGCTCCAGTTTTGTTCACAATGAGGTGAGGTACGAGTAGGCAGGCGAAATGCTCACGTGAATGGTGCATGCTGGGTGTACCTGTACAGCATTCTAGTTCTAGAAGCAACGATCACCACGCTCTTGACTGCTACGGGCGCGATGAGCTTACAGGTGCATTGTGCTATCATGTACGAGAAGGAAAGTTGGAAGCCGTACCCTATCACCAAGAAGTAAGTTCGACAATTTCGAAGCACATGATAGCAATCGTTGTAGCTGTACGTGCGTACTGAAAGGTAAGTTGAGGAACTCAATAGCAAATCCGATTTCCTTCCAGTGAATTTGTGTTAGCATCAAATTCTTACACACGACACATTGTCCTTAGACCTCGTATTTCCCCAACAAATTCCTCACCTCCGCAAATTCATTCTCAAGGATTTCTTGTCGCTCCTGCCGAACTCGAATCTCACATTCGAAGTTCTTTGGCGTCCTCACAATACCATCCATGAATCCTGTTTCGGGGTCAATATCTACAGGCCTTCCAGGCTTCTCTTTGAATTCAAAAGCCCAAAGCAACTTCGCAATAGCAATGAAGAGACTGCGCTCGGCGAGATGCATACCAGGACAGATACGTCGTCCAGCACCGTAAGTATAGTGGTCCCGCGAAGCGATATCGGGAGATGCTGCGTAGTGAGATGAGGCGTGAATACGAGTTGCGTATCGATCAGGATCGAAGTCTGACATTGGGGACTCGCAAGTATTGACGTCGGCTGGTGAGTGATTCAGGTCCCAGACATTTATGAGGACAGTCGTGTTCTTAGGTATGAAGTAGCCGTCGATGGTGTCATCTGTTTTACTTTAGCCATTATCGATATATATCGCGCGCGGACTGAGGTTTACCAGCGGTACTGTGATGCGGCATGATACTCGCTACTGGCCTCCATCGCATCACCTCCTTGATGATTTGAACGACATACGGTAGCTTCACGACATCGCTCCACATCGGTGATCTTTTGCTTCCTACCACTTCATCAACATGCCTATGAGCTCGTTCTTGAACACCTGGATACTTGATCATAGCTTGTATGAAAACCCGTATAGCAGATGCCGTCGTATCACTCCCAGCATCGATCAATGAGCCCGCAAGGGTGTCCAGATCTCTTCTCGTCAGATTGATACCCTTCTCTCCCTCATCCAGCAGGTAGTCATACACAGAACCTGCACGTACCCCACGACTTCTCCTCTCCAACACTGGCTCTGCCATCTTCGTGAAGACAGCATTAACAGTCTGTCCACTCTCATCTCCTTTATTCTTCCAATTCTTCCACCGTCCCCACCACATCCACTGGGGTACGTATACCAACCAAGGTAATAAGTCTACCGGCGGTATTGCACCAACCTCAAGCAATTCGACATACTTCTCGAACATGACTGTATACTCTTGAAGTTCGTCTGCATGTCTAGTCCTTGTCCCATAAACCAAACTCTTAATGATACTATTACTGAATCGCAAAGTATGCATCATAAAACCTCCTGGTTCGTGCCAGAAGTCATGTACCATCTGTCTACTTTCAGCTTCTACAATGTCAACGTACTCCCTCTCAACTTTCGCTTCGTTGAAACAATGTGCATATAACTTTCTGCAAAGCCGCCATTTATCTCCCGAGGGCATGAACACGACCAAGGGAATATTCGCTGGATCCCTGGCAATATAGTGCTCGGCAAAGAAGAAAGGTGGTCTGCTGTTGTATGTTGCGCCGCGCTTGTCAATGAGCTCGCGGACTAATCGGCGGTCGCTGAGCACGATGGCTGTGGTGTGGAAGAGTTTAAGGCTATAGATGCCGCCATATTGTTTTCCCCAAGCCGTGAATTGGAAGTGTGCGTTCTTTGTCGGTATAGACAGCAGGTTACCGAGGAGAGGAAGGGTCGGTGGGCCTGGAAGGTTTAGCATTGGAATGAGACATGGTGTGATCTAGAAGATACCAGGTGGTAGTCCTGCTTCTCGGCGACCTATCTTGAGGAGATAGTATAGGCTAACTACTACGGAGGTAACGACTAAGGCAGCTAGAGTAGCCATGGTCCAAAATAGCTCTTGGGACAGCTTATTGTCACCAATATTTCAGAATGAACGGAACTTGGATCGTGTCATAGATGTTCGCAGGCTTTTCTGTCAGGAAAAACAAGCAATATGTTCTGCGCGCGCTCTTTTCATACGTAAGTCAGGCGGGGTAAATTGTGCTACCATTGTATCGGTAGGCAAGAAGTGTGCATTAGCTGTTTCCGGATGCGGGACGTTGGTCGAATCCAATTGCAAGGCAAGACGGTATACCGAGATGCCGATCGGGGGAGTATTGCATAATAGCCAAGGCATGCACATGTCCATCCTGTTTGAGGTACCCTACATTCCCTATCCAAGGCATATGCAGCGAAAACGATCTTCAACGAAACCACAAACCGTATTGTGCAGAGTGAGTGATGGAGCGAACATGATGGAAGGACATTAAGTATAGGAAGTAAAAAAGTATCGTAGTGTTTTACAACAGCGCACCTGCAAAAGCAGAGATGACGAACATACCCAACATGCCCAGGCCAGCCTTGCTTACACCCATGGGTGCAGCAGCACCAGTGCTACCTGGCGAGCCCGTAGAATCAGGTCCATTACCACCAGACGTCCGGCTCGCGCTTCCACTTCCACTTGGTGTGCCCGTCGCGCTTGCCGTGTTGTTTCCCGAGCAAAAGATCTGGCTGGGGTTCACACCGTTGTCCATAAAACAGGCATTTAGATCAGCAACAGTCTGGTCGTAGGCGAGACAGTAATATCCGCATGAACCGTTGAACTCCTCGACCGGAGCGTCTTTGCAGCATTGCGAGAGCGTGTCGGATGTGTTGGAGGGGATGCCGGTTGTGCTGCCGACGGCGCAGAAGACATCTTGGGTAGGAAATTGTGTAAAGTCGGCCGTGGTGCACGAGGCGCCCGTTGCGCTGGGGGAGGCGGCAGATGATATAGCGGAAGACATTGTTGCGGGCTGAGGTTTCTGTATTGTGGTTAGGATTGCATCGGATGTCCTGTGTTGAGAGTCTTACATTCGTCCTTGATCAAGACTTGTTTAGCAGCACAGCGACTATGTAATATTTTCTTCTACTGCGAAGTAAGTAAGTAGTCGGAGGTTAGTTGTCTAGCACAATAGCAGGGACGACGCAACGGTCAAGAAATATCCGCAAAGGCAATGCCACGACTTAGCGCAACGTCACCGACAGTTCCAGCAAGATCCATCACGCCAGCGGGCCTGTCGCTCATGGCCCAGCTGTTGATCTGAGGCTGTGACGGTTGCTCGGGGGCGTGGCTCGTAGCTCCACATGGTTGCTCAGGAGACCCGTTTCCAAGGATTATTTTTGGCAACCATGACGGGCCTTTCGGCAGCTGCGCGCCGAATCACGACAATGCGGCAAGGCGAAATTTCACCGTTGGAATTGGCATAGGATGCAACGACGATTGGGTATATGAGTAGAGGCTGTGTTGCTACGTGACGTGGTTGGTGTGCTTCGCCAGATTTCTCGATTAGTGACATGGCGCGCGCTGGCTTGATGAGGATAGCGTGGCGCGTGGTAACGGGACGGAGACATGAATGTTTACTCAACTCGGAAGTCTAAGTCAACTTCATGGAAATTTCCCACTTGGGATTTGATTCAAAGTATATACATTAAATGTCCAAGACCGCCTTCTCGGTCTACTCCAGTCCAGCCTTCTCCATTTCGGTGGCGGCGTACATGAACGCACCAGCACCCTTACCATCGTTGATCAGCGTCTCAACACCAGTGTAGTACTCGTAAGACGCATCGCCCTTCAAACTTCCTACAGTAACCGTGCCGGTAAAGCTGAGGGTGCCGTTCTTCTCGTACTGGATGAAGTCATCCAACATCAGATCCCACGCCTTGGACGCTGTCTCCTGGTACGACTTCTCCAACAAACCCAGCCTGACACCCTTCATGTATGCGTAGGTGAACATGGCCGTGGCACTCGACTCGATGTAGTTTCCCTCCTTTCCAGCAAGCTCCGGGTCCATAAGCAGCCACCATCCACCGCTGATATCTTGGACGTCCTTGATACCAGAAGCCAGAGTGACAAAGTAGTCGACGAGCTTGGAGTAACCAGCGTGCGTCTTGGGGAAGACTTCGAGCACCTCAACGAGCGCAACAAAGTACCATCCCAGAGCACGGTCCCACACATATGGTGAAGCACCAGTCTCAGGGTCAGCCCACACAGTCGACTTGTCTTCGCTGTAGCCATGGTACAGGAGGTTGGTTGTCGTGTTTCGGCAGTGCTCCTCGATCAGATCGAATTGCAACTCGATATCGTTCCACGCAGTCGTGTTGTCGGGCTCGAAGTATGATGTGTAGGTCGCATAGAAGGTATCGGCCATGTAAATACCATCTAGCCACATCTGGTTCGCATAGACAGGGGCCCTGTGCCAGAACCCGCCTGTGGGGGTGCGCGGCCATCGGTCCAGCTGCTCACGGAGACCCTTAGCCGCAACAACGTACTTGTCGTCTTTACGGCCCTCCGAGTTCCAGAAGTAAAGGATGTTGTTGCCAACCCGGATGTCGTCCAGTGTGTAGAAGGTGGAGTTCCAACCCTTGATAGTGCCGTTGGAGGAAACAACCGACGAGACGGCTTCGGAAGCGTACGCAAGCAGAGAAGAGTCGTTTTGCGTTGTGGCGGCTTTCTGGATACCTTCATGGATGACCGAAGCGACATAGTGGTTGTCCATGTGCTGGCTCTTGGACAAAAAGGAAGAGGCCATCCATGTCGAATACGGCCTGGTGGTGTTCTTCGCCGCAAGTGCTGTGCCAGCCAAAGCCAGGGTAAGAGCCGGAAGATGCATGGTTGCGAAACGGTATTATGAGCAAGGTAGGATTATCACAAACAAATCGAGGACCCTGGAGAGACGAATTGAAACACCAGCGAATACTCTATTTGGCGCTGTACTCCTGTCGCTCTTTATACGCAGTGCGCTGCGTCCATACTCGTCGCCCATCTTCTCCCCATGCCCGCCACTACTGCAGTTGCTGCAATCAAAATCCATGTTCATGCAGCCTCGTAGCGTCTCAGCCTCTCCACCTTGTGGTCCTGGACGGTACCTAAAGAATTTCCGCGAGCGGAGGTTTGCCCATCATCGACGAAATCGGCAAGGTCTAGCCATGGTCTGCGACTTGGCAGCGGAGAAATTGGTGATTGGAGATGTGGTGCCTGAAGCGGCGAAAATGCTCAACAGCAGCTGTAGTTTGGAGGAACTGTAGGTATGAGATCAGGCTGCATCCATTGACCTAAATTGTGATTTTCATACAACGTTGCAGCGTTGTCGATGGGACTCTTGTCCATCGCAATGTGGAGACAACTGCTGCGATACATGAAGGAGCTCACCCTGAGTGCGGGTCGCCCTAGCCGAGTCAAGCATCCCAAGTCCGCGGGAGGCTTCTTGCGTCGTCTTGTCCCACTGCGCCAATGAACGTCAAGCTTCAACGTTCCCGTCGACGGCAGGACATGTTGATTTGGGCGGTTCTCTGGTACTTGGTCGTTGTGCACGCAAAATGTGCTTACGAACGCTTACTCAAAACGATCTCACGAAACATACAGCCAAGCAATCCTCCAAGTATGTGGGCTGACGAACACAGGCCCTAGCTCTGTACAAATTACCGACAAGCAAGAAGGATGCCAAACACTGTACGGGATTTTCCGACCATACGACCAGTGCAATGCATTCAGTATGTGAAGTTGATGTTGTCGGGGCGGACAAAAGTCTTGCATCACCTGCAGCCGCCAGGCACCGGATCCTTTCGGCTGTAACGTTCCGCCCTCTCATAATCGCAGATACCTATTTATTGTGCATTCGGACTTGCTCTAGACCTTGGAAGTGTTGCGTAAGATAACGTATTATACGCAGACCAGATGACGATATGCAAAGGGATAAGATCACATCCAAGACATCTCGCGGCATGATTTGGTACAAGGATGTCCATCGGACAAAATATATTGCCCTTATTCGGGGATATGGTAGCTTCGTCCACCAAACCGATGCCTTGCCAAGACTATATTTCAAGCACCAAACAGCGTGTTTTCTGTCTAGAGTGTTGGGTTCTTGACGACAGACCACCATCTTCCAAACCTCATGATACCCATATCATATCCTTTCCACCAACAATATCCCCATGAGATAGCCCATGTCGAACTCAGGATAACTGCCAGCCCAACGAGATTAGAATTCTTCCAAGACCATGGCTCTTGCTCCTGGCATAGGCGTTAGCTATCAGCTAGCACTTTGAATTTGTTAAAGTCTTACTCCCGTGCCCTTCTCGTTACCGATGATACCCTTCTCAATGTCGTCCGGTTGCGCAACCGCCTTGATCGAGTTGATGGTGAGATCGAAGTCGCCTTCTTGAGTGCCAAAGAAACTGCCCATTATTAAGTATTGCGGTTGAACGATTTTGTAATGGAGATTTTTACCTTCTCATCATGATGCTGAATCGCTTGACATTCTTCGTGTCTAATGGCTTCGCATCGTCCTTCTCTTTGCCGCGATACGTTGGCTTCATTGCATGCCACGGTACGAACAGACCGAGTTTGCTTTGCGACTCAAAGTCGTACTCGTAGCTGATGGTTGATTGTTCTCGTCCATCTGGCATGAGTGGCAGAATCTCGTCTTTGAGAGTCAGCGTGTACTTTTTGCCATCATGTTTCCCAATATTGAGATAGACGCCGTCGTATGCAGACAAGTCCCAGGTGCGGTCCTCGCCAGTAGTGCGTTGACTAGCAAAGCCGGCACCACCGAGAGCGGTGATGTCAAGATTGCCATGGAAACGTGCTGATGAGCCAGTGATGGTGAGGTACGACTTTGTTCGAGTATGTCAACAACGAGACTAGTTCGTTTGGGAAGTTGAGATTACCTGAGATGCTCCTCCTCTTACACGGTCATCACTATCCGTCCAATCCGAAGCTTTCCAGCCTCTGCATGCAAATTCGTCAGCATTAAACCAGACAATGCATTGCCGATGCGTCTTACTTGTCACCGCCAAAAAGTACAAGTTCCTTTTCTCTGCTCATTTTCGTGGATGTACAATGTATGATTATTGCGTGGATGATGATAACTCAAACAAACCTTGGAACCTTGGAGGCGCGTCCGAATCGAGTAGTGACCTCATGATGGGGCCCGTGCGGCTGACCATCCAAACACCCTCATTCGCCTATACGCATCTTCATACACTAACCAAAGCACAACCCCATCGCGACTACTAGCAAGTTGCTGCGTTCCAGGAGAAAACATGGATTTCCGGCCCGCGTCGCGCATGGGCGATGCAGATGAGTCCATACTAGCCGAACCATACCGACCGTTCTACAACATCTTCGGAAGCCAACCCATCTTAGTAAAACAGTACTTCTCCCTGGTCTAGAATTTTCCTCAATGCGATCTGACATGTTGTGTAGAAACAATGATTATGACCGAGTGGCCTTTAGGGAGAGACCTTGGTTTGGTGTACTGCTGTTTGATAATGTATCGTCGGATGCAAGGGACCATGCTGCGAATGAACGAAGTAGGTCGACTCAGAACAAGCCAGGAGATCCGACGGCTAACGTTATCTACAGCATTTCTGTCCTGGCTGAAGCTTAGTGTGTATATGGCCATTGTATCTGTAGCCATCGTCCTCTCGTTCCACCTCAAATCAGAACCCACACCACTTGGTAAGTTACGGGCTAATTTGTATGTAACTTAGTGTTGTGCTAAACTCTCGCAGAAAAGCGTTTCGCACTACCGTTGGGAATCATTTTTTGGTTGCTTTCCATGGCATGCATGCTATCAGGCTTGTCGAATTACATCCATACGATCTCACGGTATAGTCAGCGGCGGGCATTGGTGCAGACGGGCTGGAAGACGCAGGTCGTTTTCACGGTGGTGTCATGTGCCATTGTTGCGACGTGCATATTGTTCCTCTCAACCAACGCGGAAAAGTGATAGCGGACAAGTAACAGGGATCTCGAACACTTTCAACGCAGTAGATGGAATATCATAATAAATCGTTACGCTCGTGCTGATGTCGCTAAACCAGCATAGTTTATTCTTGTTCTGTTTGCTCATTCCCACCTGAGGCCACTCGCCTATAGACATTTGGCTTAATCTGCCTCAAGGATAGCCCAGGTCTGGTCGTCAACAGTCGTGTAGATGAGACCACCTGACAACAGATCATCACCAGCCCTTGCGACCTCTGCTGTGTCGATACCGAGTTTCGCGGCAATCTCATGCTGGTTCAGACCCTCGTTCGATTGCGGCGCTTCTCTCAGATACTGGAACACCTTCTTCGCTGTCTGGTTGTAGCCACCGAGATCATAGCCGCCGTAGCTGCCACCCATGGCCGCTTGCTGCTGTCCACCGGCGCCGTTGGTAGCAGCCGCACCGCCCTGCGCACCGCCAGGAGGTCCGCGGGTGAAGTATAGATGTACGGCGGTCGCTTCGAGTAGGTGGTAGGAAACCTCGTTCATGTCTTCGACGGGTCGGATGACTGTCGCTCCGACAGATCTTCGGTCGTTGAAGCTCTTCAGCTTACCCCATGCTCTGCAGTAAGCACCTTCGACGAGTTTCGCTTTGGTGGGGTTGGTCTGTTCTTGGGCGTCGGAATCGACCCATTGCTTGACTTCTATACTGCCAGTGCCGTCATCGAGCCTGTATGTAGTATTGGTAGTCTGGTTGGATATGTTGCGTATTTGGCCGACAAATGTGAGCTGGCGAAGTAGTTAGCGGAAGCAGATTGGCCACAGAACCACGGCACACATACCTGAGTGACTACTGTGCCGTCAATCTTGAAGGCGTCATTGCTGCCGGCTTCAAGCTGAGCATCTAATATCTGCTTGATGGTGACAGGGCGCAGGGTGTCTTGGGCACGGTCTTGTCGACCGCCCGGGCTCTGTGTACTGCCGCCCTCTCCTGGTATGAAGCCGCCTCCACCAGCACCGCCGCCGGCGCCGTAGGATGTGTACGAAGTTTCGTAACCGTTGTAGCCTGCAGCAGTTAGCGCTGGTGAGTTCATGTAAGGGGCCAGAGCTGGGGATGCATACTCATCTCGTGGGCGTGGATTGGGTTACGCGATGACAGAAGTTCGGTGTGGGCAAAACGCGTCGGACGCGCCTGCCTCATCGCGGGGCACGTGGAAGCTAGCAGCTAGGTGCGCCGTCTCCATCCCTGCCGCCAAGATTTCGAGAGGACCGTGCCCGAAATTTTCCAAAAGGCAGAGAGGAAGGCGCGACTTCCAGACGTCAGGCAGGTAAAGTGCATCACGTCGCCTCCGAGTCCCACCACCGACTTACCCATCATGGCTCCCCGCGCGAGCTCGCCGGCGCTCTCCGAAACCGAGTTCGACATATTCGATGCCCTCGCTGGCGGCGATGATGTGCAGCAAGAGACGGGTTTGGACGCAGATCTGGGAATAGATCTGGACGTTGGACACGGCGACGGATCCGACGACGAAGCCTTCATTGCCGCGAAACAGGCCGCTTCGAATCGCAAAGCGTCCAATGTAGGAAAGTCCGTGAAGAAGGGCGGAGGTTTCCAGGCCATGGGCCTGAATGCGGCGCTTCTCAAAGCCATCACACAGAAGGGATTCAAGATACCGACTCCCATCCAGCGCAAGGCCGTTCCGCTCATGCTGGACGGACAAGACGTCGTGGGTATGGCTAGGACGGGTTCTGGAAAGACAGCTGCTTTCGTCATACCCATGATCCAGAAGCTCAAGGCGCATTCTGCCAAAGTAGGCGCTCGGGGAATTATCATGTCCCCCTCCCGAGAACTCGCATTACAGACGCTCAAGGTTGTCAAAGAGTTGGGACGTGGCACAGATCTAAGGACTATCCTGCTCGTTGGTGGTGACAGTCTCGAAGAACGTATGTGCAACACGGTAGCTTTAATTGGCAGCAACGGCAAGACTAACATGTGCACAGAATTCAGCTCTATGACCACTAACCCCGACATCATCATTGCTACTCCTGGTCGCTTCCTGCATCTGAAGGTCGAGATGGGTCTCGACCTGTCCTCCGTCAAGTACATTGTATTCGACGAAGCCGACCGCCTTTTCGAAATGGGTTTCGCAGCGCAACTATCTGAGATCCTGCACGCTCTTCCGGCTTCTAGACAGACACTGCTCTTCAGTGCCACATTGCCGAAATCGCTCGTGGAGTTTGCAAGAGCTGGTCTACAAGAGCCAAAGCTTATCCGTCTCGACGCTGAGAGCAAAATTTCACCAGACCTCAAGAGTGCTTACTTCACAATCAAGTCGGGTGATCGAGATGGCGCGCTGCTGCATCTCCTCGATAACGTCATCAAGGTTCCTGTAGGCGAGACCGACGCAGCAAAGAAGGCCAAAGAAGATGCTGCAAAAGCTGCCAACAGCAAAAAGCGGAAGCGCAGCGACGGCTTCGTCAAAGATGTCCCGGTCGCTGAGTCTACCATCATCTTCGCGGCAACGAAACATAGGGTTGAGTACCTGGCCAATCTTCTTCGCGGTGCGGGATATGCCGTATCTTACGGTATGTAATCATGTGCTGTTGCATTGTGATATCACTAACTTTAAAAGTGTACGGCAACCTTGACCAAACAGCTCGCAAAGAGCAGATCCAGGACTTCCGGATGGGCCTGACCCGTATACTAGTCGTGACCGACGTTGCTGCCCGTGGTGTGGACATGCCCCATATCAACCACGTCATCAACTATGACTTTCCTTCCCAGCCCAAGATCTTCGTACACCGAGTGGGACGAACAGCCCGAGCTGGACGGAAGGGATGGGCCTACAGTTTATGCAGGCATGTCGATCTACCCTATTTGATAGACTTGCAGCTTTTCCTCGGAAAAAGACTGCTGGTCGGAAGGTCGACCGAGGACCCAAACTACGCAGAAGACTTTGTTGTCGGAAGTCTGGCACCATGGCAGTTGGAGTCTTCCGTTGAGCTTGTGAACAAACAGCTCACCGATGATGAGGACCTAGCGCTACTCCTAAGTGTGGCCGAAAAGGGTGAACGCCAATACCAACGGACACGCAACCAGGCAAGTGCACAAAGTGTAGCACGAGCTAAGGAGTTGGTGGCATCTCCAAACTTTGCAGAGACGCATATGCTCTTCAGCGACGATGCACACAATACTCAAAAAGCGAAAGAAGATATGCTTGCGAGAATCCAATCATTCCGACCCGCAGAGACTGTATTTGAAATCGGCAAGCGAGGTGTCCAGAGCGAGACAGCCGAGATTATGCGCAAGAGGCGTGAACAAGTTGGACGACAGAAAGCCAAGCAAGCGGCCAACAAACTGGCTGCTGGAGACGATATCGACTCACTTCAGGCACCTTCACGGGAATCGAATAGCAACGAAGAAGCATCAGAAGACGAAGTTGAAGTTGCTGATGGCGTATACGACTCAGATTCTGATGGACTGGAGGTGTCCGTCTCACAACCATCTTCTAAGAAGTCAAAACAAGACAGCTGGAAGAATGACGACTATTTCATGTCATACCTTCCCAAGGAGAATATGGCAGAGGAAAAGGCCTACGGAGTCAGTGGAGGAGACGCTGGTAACTCAAACTTCGTCACTGCAGCAAGGGCGGCGGAGATGTCACTTGTCAACGATGAAATCCAAGGCTTCGCAGATGCTGCCAAATCCAAGATGCGTTGGGACAAAAAGTCGAAGAAATACGTGAACCGCACCAACGATGAGGATGGATCTAAGGGTGCGAAGATGATTGTTGGAGAAAGTGGGCAGAAGATCGCGGCCAGTTTCCGCAGTGGTCGCTTCGACGACTGGCGCAAGGCAAACAAGGTCAAGATGCCTCGCGTGGGCGAAATGGAAGCCCCCAACAGGTCTGCATCATCCTTCAATAACGCCCCGCGCTACAAGCACAAGGCCGAGAAGGCTCCGAAGCAGGCTGATCGGTACCGTGATGATTATCACGTCCAGAAAAAGAGGGTGGCTGAAGCGAAAGAGAAGCGCGTCGGTGCATGGAAGGATGGTGGCGCCAAGAGCGAACTTCGAGATGTGGATGCTGTTCGCAAGAACCGCAAGGTCCAGGAAAATCGCCGAGCAAAGAATGCTCGTCCCTCCAAAAAGCGGAAGTTTTGAGTTCATTGAATCAATACCCGGGCCTTATGCCCAGCGACATGAATCGACTATGAAGTTTTCTCAGGCACGTGTCAGTGAACTAAATTCCGTGTCATCCATTATTTTTCGCGGACCGAGGTGAAAACAATCCGATTTGACAGCTGTACGACGTGGCGACTAAAAGAAATCGAGTTAGATTTAGCAATTGGCCAGATCTCGATATTTGTGCGAAGAAAGGCCGTTGTGACCCGCAAGGTCAGGCCATGTTTGCTTCTCCAGAGCCCGCGTCCCCGTCGGTTCTGTGTAACGCTCGATGTTGGACGACTGTCATTGCTTTGCTGTGCCACATAGGTGCGGATTGGCGAAAGTTTATTGGGGGGCCCTGCGACATGGCAGTGGGCGAGCATCCTGCCCTCCTCGGACAGCGCGCGTATTGACTCGATAGTGGCTTTTTGTGCGCATCGTCGTGGTCGACGAGATTCAAAGGTTAACATACGAGTATCCAGTGCGACGCAGTCCCTTTTTGTATCGACTCGATCAAGGTTTATTTGCTGGCTTTATGGCTACCACCAGTTTGTTCAAATCGGGACTGACAAGCTGCAAGTCAGTCCGTGGCTAAAAACTATGCACACGCTGTCGGCTGGGATAGAGTTGCCGGCGTCTATTGACGTCGGGTAGTGTTGACACTGACAGGCGATCGCGTATAGTCCGCGTATTGGGTGAGCGCCTCGAATCTCACGCCATTGAGATTAAGGTCCGAGGCAGGGATAGGGGCCTCTTCGGGTAGACAGCTAATGCTCCTTGTAGAGGCACGTCATTGCTTGAGGAGATTTCTGTGAGCCGGGACGAGTGTTCCCCACTCATCGCAATGTAAGGGTGCACCAGCCCTGTTTAGTGCCAACGCCGCCAGACTTCAATAATCCTTCTGCACGCGCGCACCTGCGGCTTACCCGACGACTTTCCAGAAGCCGCCACAGTTGTTTTTCTGCATGGTCGCACATGAGCGCGTTTTGCCATGCGATGGTGGGATGCGTGGCGTGTTGAGGATAGCAGCTTCCTTTTTTCTGCGCCCGGAGATTCGGTCGCCGTGCTGCGTCACGCAGGGCACAGCATCAGGAACATTGTTTCACGTCAACGGCTTTTTGATATTCGAGAGGGCTCAAATCGGACGAAACCAATCTCGCTGCGAAGCTCCTTGTGGGTTTCGATGAAAATCATCCGCCTGAACCAGCCATTTGCGCACCAACGGCTGCGGCGTGGCTTCTTCGGAGAGGCGCAGTCTGGGCTGTGGGCCATGGCCATTCGGGTGGATGTATGCGTAGTCACATTCCATATATCGGTAAACGGCTCTTGGGTATTGATAGAGCACTTTACCGGACGGAAATTTCTCGCTCCGTTGCGGGCCTGATCAAACTACCTAGGTATGTCGAGGGGTGAGCGAATCCTACAGGGCTCGCTTGCCCTACATCACGAGACGCTGCAGGTTGCCTGGGAGGCGAGCCTGAGCCGCATTCGCGGAGTGGAGTACCAAGAGGCACACGAGAGGTATATCATTATCAGGTTTGAGTTGGACTCCGAGGAGACCTGTTGGGCACTGAGACCAGCCAGGGAGCTGCTCGGCCCGCACCCAGTCGCAAATCGACAATGGGACCAGCGACGGGCAAGTATGCAAGGACCACAGGGGAAACGGAGAGGCCAGGGAGGGTCCCTTGTAGCGACTACTTTTGGCACAACGTGTCCTGAGCACCGGTTCGTAGATCCCGCCCGCAGGCCTGTCGTGATATTCGGGTCCTGGCCAAGCGGCTGACTCGGCGCTCAACAGCTCAACATTTTACGACAACAACAACGCGAATTGCTCGCACCGCAGCTCTAGGATACGTCTCCATCTGTTCGCAGATGATCTCGTCAGGGTTGGCATTAATCACGGAGCTCGACAATGACAGCTGAATCAACGAAACGGCAGGGCCCGCCGGGGAAGGACATGAGTCCCGAGACCCTGGACAGGCCGTTATGCGCATGCCGTTATGCGCATGCCGTAGCTTCGGGGAACCGTAATG